GGGTGGGAGAAAAAACAACAACAACAACAACCCAAGAGCTAAAAGCTTTTTTCCATGAATAATTCAACGAGCAGATTTATGACTGACCAGAAATATGCATGAGCTAACAGGTATGGGATGACTCAGAAGTATCACATGGCAGGACATGTACTGGCCACAGGTCATGTGGAGAGATACCAAAATGAGCTAGAGTAGTCTCCATTAATTACCACCACCGTACTGTAGTCAGATTTTTACATTGTATGTTGCTATCATCCCCCACTGCTGCGAGGTGCTCCTTTTACACAAAAAAATGCGTCATATTTTATTTGACAATCATCTTGCTGTCCCAGCATCCTCAACACTATTGTTCCAGTAGAAAAATTGAGTACAACTTCAGTACAAATTATCCAATCTCAAGTTTGTAGATATTCTCAGTGTATAACGATTATTGACACTAAACCTAAATCAAAATAGAAAGAAATAAGTATTTTCACTTGAATTAAATCATTAAAAGAGTCAATTTGACCCAGACTCGCACATACTAGGTTTTTTCATTTGAAGTATAAGTGCAAAAAAACCTCAGTGTTGTCCTGGTCTTCAGTGAAGCAAAAGTTATGAAATGAGTCACTGTAATGCTGAAATATATACCAAATTAGGTGCCCTTCATCTTTGCAGGCATGATGAATGGCAATAATTTTTTATTGAACAAAAGGGAATTAAATATCAAGCTTCGTAAAACATACGGCAGTATAATGGGTAACTGAAAAATACTGATGACCAGTTTCCAAAAGTATGTATGTCATGGAGCACTATAAATATATGCAATACTTTGGGTTCAGCACTCTGAAATCACATTAAGGCGTTTACTGAGAGATCAGATGATATCAATTTGTAAGTCACAGTGAGTAAATAATGTACAAACAAAAACAAAAGAGAGAAGAAAACTGAGAAATACTTTCAGTTTCAGAGACACAGTTAGACATATACACACATTGATATTGACAGTCAAAGGCTTTTACTTCTTGCTTTCAGAATTTAAGTACGAAGCAACATACCAAAATACCTTCTATCACAATTTAATTCTGGGCATTGTGAGGAAAAGTTCACGAAAAGAAAACTGACCATATTGGAGAATTGAGAAGTACCATCTCTAAGAATGCTTAAGTTCATTGACAATAGTTTACAACTGACAATAACCACATTTTGAGAAAAATTTCAATGGCTTAGAAAAAGATTGATAAACTTACCATACTGCTGTAACTGATCAAGGTGAATTGAGCAAAAGAGAGGGAGGGAGGGGGGTGGGGGGGACCCCCTATGGACCTGCACCAACATGCTCCCCGTTGCTATATCTAGGTATTTTGTTTGGTCCAAAGTTTCAGAATTTACTTGATACCAATACGAGGTGTACAGATGACTACAATGAAAGAAGGAAAGGGCGACTTTCTCCTTTTGCCAAGTCTGTTGATTCATTTAATCCAGTGTCAATAGATGCAAGGTTCAGGAAAGGGCCAATGTTGAAAATTTGCTCCTGCCTCCCTGTTGAAAGTTGTTCTTGATTTTTGCACAAAGCAACATCACCATTTGCAGCAGGAAAACAAAAAGAGCACAACACAAAAACAAAAACAAATTGGAAAAGACAAAATATGTACTAGGCTACAAGCCCTAAAGATAATAAAATATCCCTTGATATGGCAAAGATATACTTCACAGCCTCGAGGAGAGAAACCATTCATAAATATACTTTTGATAACCAATTCCCTTCTATGAAGGGTTAGCAGAAAATCAAATCAAATAATTAACTGATGAATATACGAAACATAAAATCGATGTGGTAGCATACCTTTGAGAACAATAACAAAATAATGATAAAATGTATTATTTTGACAATATGAAATGAGGTTCTTCAGTTTGGCTAATCTTAGCTATAGCTCACAGCACAACATATTCATTGAATTTCTTTTCTTTGAATTGTAAATTCCTCATTTCAATGGCCACAAGTTATAGTAATTTCAATACATATGAGCAACTATCTTTGTTTCAGCATCTGTTATAAAACTGCTGACTGAGACATATGTGGCACTCAGTCAATGTTCCAGGAGACCCCAAAGAGCATGGCAAAAAGAGACAGTGAAGGAATTCAAGAGTAATATGATTTAAGCACAAAGGGGAACGCTTTTCATATGTTACAGGGTAATCACTACAGCACTGAATCTTTCAGCCAACATGCTTCAATTTTTTCTTAGAAATAAACAACTCTGAATTACTATTAAATAAATACAGTAGTGAACAGTGTTTGTCTTAGGAATACTTTAAATTTACTTCTGAGATATTAACATTGCACCAACAACAGACTAGACTTAAGAATATGTACAGACATTGTTACAAGCAGCGATCTTAATATTGCACCAGTGCCCAATATATACCCCTCTTAATGATAATGAAGAAGATGTAACACCACCATGAAAAAAGAGAGGAAAAAAACACAATTTGGCAAGAAAATTCCACATTAGCAATATACTGTAACTTAAGAAAGACATGTAGAGCTGTAGAACATAGCACGATGAATAGGGTACTTTACGCTCAGCAGCTCATTCCCAGCTCATCCACTTCCTTTTCTCTCTCCTTCTCCACATTGTTCTGCTGTGCTTTCAGGTACTCCGTGTACATTTGACGCGCATGGTGCAGCACACGCTGCGCATTGTGTCGACGCACAAGCCGGTCAAAGTGCATGGCAATCTCCTCGTAACACATGCCATTGCGCACCACTACGTCCCTGTGCATGGTGAGCAGTGTCAGACACAGGAACATAAGGAAGGGGTTCCCTGAGCCAAACTCCTGCGGGGGAGGAAGACGCGACGGGTCCCTGATCACGGGCTTGGCACTCGGGCTGGATGGCGTGGTCTGTGCACTTCCTGTAGAACTCTCCAATGACTCGGTGGCTTCCTGGCATTCTGAGAGGTGCGAATCAGAGTAATTTTTGGCCATGGCTGAAACGTCCTTATTGCTAGACACACCATGTAGAACAGGAGCTGAGGGTACGTGTTTAGGAGGCATGCCTTTCTTCGGAGACGCCCCAGGAGATGTGGGAACATCAGGTGTCGTATGGCTAGTAGACCGGCGTATAGGCGAAGCCAGCAATCGCTTCATGCTTTGAAAAATTCCAGAGTTTGAATCAGAATTATTGGCTACAACTGCTTTAGAATTGGCAGGTGCCTCCGCTTTGATGTAGACTACATTACTAGTGGTAGTCTCTGGTGTTGTTGGGACAGAGCTCAGCTCGCTGGACTGGTCATCCTGTCCGCAAGTATTCTCCGAATTGTTGCTGTTGGTGTCCAATGACAAAACGAACTGCGCTTGTAGTTCAGAGCCATCAGAAGACTCTGAGACAGCTGAGCTCACACTCCAAGTGCGCTCCCCATTCGATTTGGTGAAATGGAAGTCCGAGCTCTCTTCTATAGGAATGGAATTACTGGGTATATGCATACTGACACCGCCATATTCACTGTCCTCGGGCACTATGGTATCCAAACTGTCAAAGCCATTTTCCTTGGGGCTAGAATCAACTCCACTCCCTGGATTATCAAGATTGTTCTTTTTCGAATCTGAATCCGTATCACAGCTACTTTGACTTGTTTTATTCTCATTCTCATCATCAGCATCTTCATCATCATCATCACCAAGGCAAGATCCCTCCTGTAGAACCTGATCAATACTGCTGGATTTCTTCTGCAATGACCTTGTGAGAACGTTATCAACTTCTGGAAAATCTGATCCCTTGTCTTCTATATCTCCTGGAGACGTGTCAAACGAGGACATGACGCTTGTGTTGTTGGAGCTATCATGACAGCTCTCGAGGCTCAGGTTGTTGTTCGTCGAGGGCCGAGGTGCGTGAAGGGTAATTGGCTTGGCAGCCTGCGCTACCCGGTGCAGGGCCCCGACCCGCCTCATGGCCAGGAGTTTGGCGTACATGGCTTGTTGGATAGAGAAGGAAGGGGAGCAAGGTGAGCTGGACAGTAGCCGGCATGTGTAGTCAGGGTCAACCAATTCTAGCTCCGTTTGGGGTGGGCTGGGTGGCAGCGTCGCCCACATGACCTCCAGAACGTACAGTGCATCAGAGAAGGGAAACTCCCGCTTTAGCTCCAAAAGGAACCAGCGGTAACAGAAAAACATATCTCCGGCAGAGTTCTGCTCTAAATATGCGTGCAGTTGAGGATCGTACATAGCCAGAACCTCAGACAGATGCCGGAACTTGAGCATGATGGCTGTGCCCTCCACCGTAAAGTTCTCCCTCAGTCGGTTCATCAGAGCGCAGAAGCAGATGTACGCCTGACCCTCATCTTTCTGAGTGACCAACAGTGGTGATGCCAGGTCGCTCATTCCCTGGCAGTAGGAGACATCCGGGTGCGTCAAGGCATACGTGACCAGCAGGTGGAACAGCGACAGAGTGTTCTCATTATCTTCGTTGTCTTGACTCCCCTTGTAGAAGTCGTGAGCGCGGTCTGTGCGGAGCACATCCTTCTTCACCATACTAGTCACGTACTTCACCTCCTCCGTAGCCGTATTGCTCTTGAACTTTTCTCTCCACTCCTCTCGCAGACGCCTGTACTCCTCCCCTTTTCGCTTCATGTATTCGTAACGGTCATTACCCGACATGTTTGCTGGGAAGATGTTGAGCAGATGCCGCCACGCCACTCGTCGTAAGGAGGGTTCGATCCCTCCCTGGTAGATGGACAGTCGGAATTCGTTGGGTCTCATCATGAAGCCAGCGCTGTCGAGGTAATTGTGGAACTCCATGTCAGACATCGGAGGCTTGATGGGTTTGATGTCACTGTCAGATTGCTTGAAGCCTGTCAGAGGTAATCACAAACAAAAGTTATAATCTCCAGTAGGGAAACAAACTTAACAAATGTTATAGCAATGATATCCATCGAGCTGTGTAAACCTCAACACATAAGAACATCTCTCTGAACTGGACACAGTAAATTTTATGAAATTTTTATAATGGAAAAGTGAAACACTGATTCACAATTCAGGGGTAGTTTTGAATGAAGAAAAAAATCCACTACTACCTTCCCAACTCTTTTACTATTGACCCGCCAATGTTCTGACAACTTTGGTATTATTACAATACAAATTTATCACACAATAGAAGACAAATCGATCACATAGAATACCAGAAAAAAACTAAGGTAAAAAGAAAGAGAAAAATACCAGTGAGAAAGGGAAGTAAATATAGGGAATGATGGTAGAGAGGACCTACAATAGCCTATTAACTCTTTGGCTACCATGGGCCGATCCATCGGCTCCATAACTTCCTAGTTCGTGGCATTATCGGCTCGCGCTTTTCTTTCCCTTTCCCTTCCACAATTTGACTCAACCTGTCAGTTTCATGTTTTTAACTGCTCTGCTTACCATACATCAGTCAACCGGTGAAGGAATTTGGCGCCTTTTGTGTTTTATTCTGCTGGTTTTTTTGGGCATTTTTGCATGTTTTTTTTTACCCGCCCTGTGTTGCTCAAATTAGTTTACACGCATAGCAACGGCAAAATGGCTGATAACCCATTAGGTTCCCGCCCGTCACAACGTTTTTATGCTTCAAAAGCCCTGGAAAAGTTTGATGGGGAACTGTCAGTACTTTCCGATAGTGATGTAGGAGGGGATGAAGTTAGACCTGAGTCGGACAGCAGCGACAGCGATGAGAATGAAGATTCGCAAAGAGGGGCGTGTGTGCAGGTTTTTTTTCTTTTTTTCATTGTGAGTGATTTCACCAAAAGTGCGACAACTTTGTATATACTTGACCATTGTGCATGAAACTTGGCCCAGTTAGAGACAACTGGATATACTTCAGTATGACCAAGTCATGAAGTGATTGGATTTAGCAGCTATACATTGTGAGAAATGTAAGTTGGAAAAATTTTGTTTATTTTTTTTTTCTTCACCTTGTGTTCACTTACCTCCCATGTTTGTTTGGATTTATGATTTTTTCAATTTTTTTTATTCGGTTAAAAATATTCTACATTCAATTACCTTCATTTTGGTATATAATATGTCTGACTTCCAGATGGAATTATGCCCATCAGACACAAAAGAAGAACAGGGGTACTTCTGAAATTCTAAGATTAAGAAATGCCTTGGTCACAGCGCGGAAAACGCCTTGGCAGCCAAAGAGTTAAAAATAGTCACCTCTACTGTTTTAAGTTAATAGAATGCATTAATCTTTTGGTTTGTTAGAGTAGAGTGAAGCACTTCAACACTTTAATGGTCATTTAATGCTTGGAAAAAGCACAATGATAAACAGAAAACAACAGAAGGAAAAAGCATGAACAATAAACAGAAAACAACAGAAGGAAAAAGCATGAATGATACACAGACAATAACAGAAGGAAAGAAAAGAAGTAGGACATACCAGTGGCACCCTCTAACCAACCACACAATTTTGAAAATAAGTTAGTTTAAGAACGAACGAGAGGGGAAAAAGTACAATGAGAGAGAGAGAGAGAGAGAGAGAGAGAGAGAGAGAGAGAGAGAGAGAGAGAGAGAGAGAGAGAGAGAGAGGAGGGGGGAAGCACACAGAGGGAGTGACAGAGAGGAAGAGATAGATAGAGAGGAATAAGGAGAGAGACAAAAAGACAGATAGCATCAGACAGAGTAGGAATATGTGTTGATATGTACATGAACTATGCATTATTGAAGCTGGCGAAAAAACACTGTCAATTTCTTCCAACTGACATTTCTTTCTGATCAGACCCCATCTTTAAAAGCTCTTTAAAAAAAATAAAGTTAACGTCCTCTACAACAAGCTCACCCATCACTCGCTGCACAGAATTCATGGTTTTGCCAATGCCATGTGTGATGGTGCCCAGTATGGAGCCTTTGTCCAGAATGCTGCTGATCCTGTGCTGGGGGATCTCGGCCGGCGCTATCACATCCCAGTCCTCCAGCTCTGAGAACAAATGTTTTAGTTTTAGTTGTTAGAGTTTTATGGAACTTGCAACACAACTAGATGTATATAAGTGCCAAAGATTTGAGGTATCTAAGAGAGTAACAAACATTAAAAAAGAAGGAGGGGAGATCAGGACAATAGATGTTTGATAGCAAAGAAGGAGCAAACCACACCAGAAGACATTCAGATAATAACGAGGAGGGAATAAAGAAATAAAACACATCAGTGGTGACCTCCAACCACTCACAGAAAAGAAAGCTAATGAGTAAAGGTTTGTCAAATGTAGTAACTTTGGACATGAAAGATGTGATTTATTACAAACAATTTAAAATACAACTGCATATAAAGTGTTGCCTTTGCCATATTGATGACATGAGATATATGATTGAATATTCAGTTCGTTTAAAGATAACTGTATTTACAATGGCAACCTTTAAGAGTACAAACGTACATTTATTATAATGTTAAGGCAGTGGTACCTAAAACCAGTCACTACCTAATTCAAGATGCCCTGAGGGTGGTGGGAAAGTTTTGCAAAATTTTCGGAATTATTATATTATTTCACTCAAGGCATATAAAGTTTCAATTCTGACAGGAACCAGAAAAGGAAAAAAAAATTAACCTCATCGTTCTGGACCAAAAATTAGGGGGAAACCATACTACCATAAAACCACAATACATTGAAACGAAAAAAAGATGCTTAAAAAATGGGGAAAAGCATAAACACATGAAATAAAATACAACAGCATTCACTATCACCATACCTGAGTGAGGGTAATTAATTGAGTTAACATTTATAGCACTCCAGAGGCCTAAAGTTTGTTCAAGCGGAATCAAAGCACAAGAGTAAACTAGTGCAAGTTGGCAATTCCTTCTACAGCCTTCTGACTTCATATCAGAACCCCTGTCTATTACTTATTTATCATCTCAAAGGCCAAAGCAGAGGCAGAACATGGCGAGGAAAGGTTACCTAAATTTACAGGAATTGATCCACACTCAGCTGAGTCAGTCCTCAGTGCTTATGGAGACTGTGTGGTAAAAGTTCACCACAGAACTAATTATAACTAAATTATTCATGCACAAATACTGTGTCATGTTCACTGCTTCATGTATCTATCAACAAATCTAGTGTTCTGGCCGCTGTGCTGCTGATGACGAAGATGATGATGATGACCGTTCTCCACAGGCACAGATGACATTGACTTCACATCACTAGGAATGAAGTCAGGACTTGTGCGTGAATTTGATTAAAGTGAAGCCTATGCAGGAGACGTATGAGCGAAAATGTGTCTTAGTAAAAGACTTACAGCACTTGCAACACACAAGGTTGCGTAAATTCCGAAGATTAGTGGTGTTACAACAGAGTAACAAACACAAAAAGGAAAGAGGAGAGATATAGGATGATCAATGTTTTATATGAAAGAAGAAGCAAACCACACCAGAGCACCCATCAAACATCCATTGAGTGAGAACTGTGGTTTGTACAGTCTTTGTCTACCGGCATGGTAGACAGATATCAAAGTCTGTTTATTACACCTCTCACTATCCACATGGCTTCTGTGTCCTACCTATACAGAGGGTCAGTGATATGCTTCAACTAATCAGCACAAAACAAATTATGTTACATAGGTCAACTATGAAGAGTGAGTGGGTGGCCATCAATGGAATTGGATCAAAACAACTTATTTACCGGTGTAAGTGTGTATATCAGTGTGTTGTGCACATATTTATGTGTGTTCACATTGCAAGTATCAGTTGGTATACATATATATATACATATCTATGTTGCAAACATAAAGACCTCTGGGCTCCTGACTCTTTCTGCAGCCTTTCTACTGCTACTCCTTGGCTCCTCCTTACTGCTGTCTTTCTGCCACACCCCTGATCTTCTG